TTTCCAACATTAAAGATCAATACTCTTCACAACTTGCATCCAAGCTTTAGTTACTTATCATTTTAAGAAGAAAGATAAAAAAAACTACTCAGAATCTATGGAAAAAATAAAAACACATTTTAGTTTAAAAGTAGAAATCATTGTCAAACCAACAAGAAGTCTCGATTAAAACCAAAAGAAAGATAAAAACTTATCTCAAATCCTCCACCAAACTTTTGAAGTTCCTTTGAATCTCTTCTCTTTTACAGCACTCTCAAAATAAACTAAAAGCAAAAATGATAAAGTAAATTTTTGTGGTGCCTGAGAATCTCTCCAAAACTATCTCTCCAAACTCCTTAGAACTCCTCTTCTTCTAACTCTTTTCAGAACTTTCAAGCACTCACCTAAAATGTCTCAATTTTCTTCTTCTATAAATCTTCAAAAGGTGCCTTGGAAACTCTTCAAAATATGTCAACATTCAATGAATTCTCCAAAGGATGCCTTCTTTCATAAGTCTTTTAACCATATTTTCGTTCTTAGTGGTCATAACCACCCTCTTAAGTCAATAAGTGCCTCAAATACCTCTTCAAAATTCAGTAAATTGAAAAAAACTGCCTCTGGTGCATAAGCACGGAGCCTCTAGCGCTTAAGCGCGACCATCTCTATTTAACTGGCACTTAAGCGCCAAATCTAACGATTAGGCGCCAAAACACTCTAGCAAAATTTTCATATTTTTGCTCTAAATTTGATCATTTTTCGCTCATGTAAGCTTTTTTACCTTTTTACTTGTACCTGAAAGAAAAACACAAAAATATTTTCTATTAAAATGCAATATCTTAAAAATAGGTATAAAAATGTGTTTAAAAACACTATATATTAGGTATATCAGTAACCCACGGTTGCTAACGAGATCTCCCTAGTTTAAATGAGCTTAACAACTCGTTTAAGTTAAGTAAATTCAGAAGAAAATAGTGGTACCGGAATGATGGAATTGTGTGATCCTAACTTGTGTCGCTCTAATCAACTTTAACCCCCTGTGATTTAACTTGAACTTATCATTTAAACATTCAAACCTTAGACTTTAAGACTGCTATATCGACAAGAAGCTTGGAGCTAATGTCGTGGGCAGCACAACAAGGACATACAGAAGAACAACTTCGAGAGAGCAAATGAATTTACAATAGCCCGAGGATCTACAACAGCAAATCTTTCCTATACTTAAATAACAAATCATAGGACTTCGAGGTTGTCCGCCTAGTCACCTAGTGTGACACAAATCTTTAACTCATCTTTAGTCCTTTGCACAATCATGGTTGTGCAATTTAAGCCCTAACTCGTCTTTGGTTTTGAGGTTATCACTTGTTGTGATGTAAACCCTCATATCTTCCAAGTTATTTGTGTGATCGTCTCGCACAAATATAAGCCCAAAATGATAATAATTGGTAGGATGAAGCATTTAATATGTTCTCACCGAAATTGAAGCCAAACTATAGGATAGCTTGGGAAGTCACCGAGGTTCCCCTCAAGATCTGTGGCATTCCCTAGTTCTTCATTCTTTGGATTCCAAAATAAAATGTTCCAGATTTGAGTCTTTCCCATTTCACACATCTTTCTTCGATCTTTGAAAATTCCTACATTTTGAAAGTCTTGAAGACATGATTCTATGACCTAAATCGAGAGTTTTCTTAAGTGATTTCGGTCATTTAGGATGTAATTAACAATAGAGACTTGTCCGTATAAGAAATTTTATGAATCCTGTTTAATATAAACCCTATCTAATCTTCTATATTAGATAGGAAAATTTGTCGGCATATATAAAAAATGGTTCATAGACCAAACATATGTCATACCTCTTTAATTTATTTAATCGAGCATTCACCAGTAGTTATATATCCTTCGAGGTAAGTACATTGTTTGTGGTATTGTGCTCGATCATGTAAACTATTGTCTATATGGTATCGATTCAGTCTCGTATTTTCAAAAATTAAAATATTTCCTTTTTTAAAATTAAAATGCTATTTTTCTAAAATTCAAATTTATATGTATATTAAATTATAAACATACCCAAGTCACACTCTTCCCCGCCGACATGGATGTTAAATATATCCCGTGCCAGAATTCTTATCACCCAACGGTGAGCTCTCCCGGGTAGGGCTGGATTAGTACCAATCCTAATCAAGTGCTCGAGACACTTACCAGGTGGTTCTGATGGATAGCTTGGGTTAAGGGAGATTCCGAGTGAGTGAAATAATTCCGGTAGCATTTAATTGGACATCCTACACATGTGACATTAAAAAGTGATGCCAAAAACATACTTTTGAATAAAAAATGGCTTCAGATCAATGTCAAACGCCTCGAGATTCATACCAAATTATAAAATTTGTTGATGTGTATCAACACCAAAGTGCTATAAAAATAAATATGAATGTTTGGGCACTATATATGTAAATATATAAGAATTGTGTGATATGCATCTAAATTCTTTAATTTAATTGTTTTTCTCATAAAAGTTATTACAAAAATGAGAATACACGCGCGCACGCACACACATCACATAATTCTTATATATTTACATATATAAGACCTAAATATCGTATTTACATAATATTATAATCTTTAATATCATATTAAAAATACTCCGATTAAGTTTTTAAAATGAAATCCACATTTTCATACATAGGTTTGATGACAATGTAATTATTAAAAAAATTATGGAATTAATTTGTCATGTCTTACAACTTATTTTGCTCCTCTTTCTACTTGTATTTTAATCTCTTACTTCTAAATCTTCTAACTCCCCAAACCCCTCCCTCCCTCCCTCCCTCCCTTTGGGATCACATGCACACCCATGATTCTATATATAACATAAATATAAATAATAATGAAAATATTATAAAATTATTTTTTAAAAAAAATTATTTAATTTGCTTGGCATGCATCTCTTGTGCTCAATAATAAGAATTTGATCTCATATATGGATGCAACTGCCCATGTTGTTGTGATTGAAAATCCCCATATCATTTATCATATTATCTTCCTCATATTCTAAAGCACCCCATTACACAACTTTACTCTTATTTCCAGTGAACCTCTTTTTTAACTTATATGCATTAATGTATAAAGTGTTGAAATGTGATGCATAAAATTCTCATTAACTTAGAGGAACCGTTGGACACTAAATAAACTTATTAAAATAATTTAATGACTAGCTTAATTATGTAATTAAGAGTTATAATTTCATAATATCCACTCAAACCTTAAATAATAAAGTGTGATAAATAATAATAAATATCTTAAACTTGTGAATCAAAAGTGCTTATCAATCGGAGTGATCATATTATGGGGGGCATTTACATAAAATACCACAAATCTCTTATATATTTACATATCTAAAATCTAAATTTTGATATTAACATGCATATCACTCAAATCTTCAACATTGCATAAAAGGAAAACAACAATTATAAAATTTTTAAAGTGAAATACAGCTTTTCATGCATAGATGTATAATGCCAACGTGTTATAAATTATCTAGCTTTACGTAAGAGTTGTGTGGTATGTATGTAAATTTCCCTATATTTTAATTTGCATGTATTTCCACACATTAGCATGATGACAAGCTTGTCAACCTTTCTCCACTCATGCTCTTAAATTAACTACATCAACGCTAACCAACCCCCGAACCCATTAAACACTAGCTATACTTCTCTGCTTTTCTCCATCAACTTAAATTCAAGCACTCTTTAATCAACTTAACTCCTTAGCACTTATATGTTGATTAAAATGATTCATGTTATAATTTTTTCGATAATTTTTATGCTGACTGTTGATAACCTAACACAACTTTCTATTTTTCACATTCAGGTTTGGGAACGACAATGACAGCGAAAAATATTTATCAACTTAACTCCCAAAAAAAAATCATTTCTCATTTTCTCCATAAAATCAATAATAGAGTTATACACTGGTTTTCATCGAATCGGTAATAGATCATTTAATACGATAGGATTTTGGAGTCACACACACACACACACACATAAATTAAACTAACATGTGCAATATATATATATATATATATATATATATTCTTTAAATGATATGTGCCGACAATTAGCTTATGTATGCATGTGCAAAATTAGGTATCTTTCTTCTCTCTCTGTTCGATCAGAACTATACCTCAACATTGCATGGAAAGGAGGAAACGCACTGTTCTAGTTATGCCAAACATCCCAAATCAGAAGTAACAGTTCCCAACTCACAATGTGACAAAGTTCTCTTCGAACAGCGCTCAACGTCCCTTCCCAACGGTCAAAAGCGCCCAAACACGCAAGCAAACTGAGCCGTTACAGAAGAGATTCAAAGATGATGGATTCAGACGTAATCCTCTACGTATCTGAAATCTCGAAGACCCCATCATCCCCTCCACCTTCTTCTTTACATTCCTACCCTCCATTGCCGCTCCCTGTAATTTTTCTGAAAAGCTGCCATTTGAGCAGGGGAAGAGACAAAGAGAAAGTGGATGAAAAATGTCGATGACACCTGCGATTTCGAGGAAGAAAAAGCGAAAAAGTGGAAGGAGTGGAATCATGGTCTCTTATTGAAAGGTCGGCATCTTTGAGCAAACAAGGAGGGGGTAATAGAAGGGTGGGAGTGGTAAAAGCAGCGAACTTTTTAAGTAAAAAAGGGAGAAAAAAGACAACTTGGAATTCGACCACTCATATGATGCCATTGTTCGCGTGCTTCTGGAGGAGAAGGCTTCGCTTTTTTAGGACTTCGATGGCCCACTAAAGGATTACCCAAAGCCTTCGCTTTTCTCCATCGCTCCCATTTTTTGCCCCTCGTATACTGTCCCCTTCTGCGCATTAGTAACTTCAGATGTCCTTATTCTTCATGTTTCATTGCGTTTTTCTTCTCATTTCTTTCTCGGCTCTGCTTTCTTTGGATTTCTTCTGTTTGTATATAAGGGCAAAGGAAATGAAAGATGGGTTTTTTGTACCGGGATGTGTTGGAAAAATGAGGTTTTTAGGATACTCGAGGGACTGAAAAAATTCTGTTTTTCTGCTGGTTTTTACTACTGATGAAGTCCCAAAGAAAAAAAATGTTATTTTCTCAACTAGTAAGACAGATTTAGTGGGTTTCTGCTTCTGTTTAACTTCAAAGATGATTGGTTGAGGGTGTAATACACTAAACAAAGAGTAAATATTCCTCTTTATTGTTTATCTTTCTTTAGCTGGATGAAATGAAGCTTTTGGGAGAGGTTCAAGCAAACACAGGTTGTTGCATTTTTTCCACTCACCTTTTTTATTAATTTTCTTCTGGATTTAGTCGCAGCAAACAATTTAGTAATGCTATATATTCTGAATGTGCTTGGTTGTGTTCAGGTGCAAAGAAGATTTTGAATTCAGAGCTATGGCATGCTTGTGCAGGTCCTCTTGTCTCACTGCCACGGCCAGGAAGCCTTGTTTACTACTTCCCACAGGGGCATAGCGAACAGGTTTTAAGAATTGTTTTTTGGTTGGAATATCTTTTTTCTGTAATTAGTTGGATTTAGTTATAGTGATTAGGATTATTCCATTTTTTTGGTACTTGGCTTAATTAAGTTAGGCTTTTTAGCTTCTATGATCATTATGGCAACAAGTGTAGAGCTCATCTTATTTTACTAACCAAGTGAAGGCATTTTTATTGATTTATCTGTATTTTATTATGAATATTGCTCTTTTTTTTTAGTTTAGTAATCAAAATTAAACATCTTCTTCATTTATTTTTGGTCCATAGATTGGTAGGAAGCTGAGCTACATGGTCTTAAGTAATCCAAAAAAAAAAAATCCAAGGACTCTTGGTTTGTTTTACTTGGTATCTCCTGACTATTTTTGTGCTATGAGTAGTAAGTATAAATTCATATAGTTTCAATTAATTGGATCCTATTTCTATACTCCTAATCTTCAGCGGAAATAATCTTCTCTCTCTAGTGAATTTGGTGTAATCTTAAGGTTGAAAGTTAGATTGGTTTCTTGTGATATTTTAGACTATGTACTGACTGTCTTGTGTAAATTTGTGGATACAAAGCTTGAAGGTTGACTCATTGATCAAGCAAACTTTTCCGTCTGGATTTTTATTGGCTTTGTTTTTTTTTTCTTTTATATTTGTTAGCAACAAGTAGTTGATTGACATATTATCAAGTCTGAACTTTATAAACAAGATTTGATAAGCTTATAATAATCTAAGCAACTTAATCTCAAGTGCTTGCTTGGCTTTTGAATAATCCAGTGACCTTTCATAGGTGCCATGATATCTTTTTTATTTTTGCTTTTGTATACATTACAAATGTTTATAGCACAATTGTTTACTTCCACTAACCATGAGTAGCATTAAGTTTTACCTTTATACAAGTTGGTTAGCACACATTCATGTATATTTAGAAACTTGGATGCAGATTAAGCGTTTTAGGCGGCACCCTGGAACAACAAGTTCTAAGTTTGGCTTCTGGCCAATTTTAAGTAGAGGCGGAACCAAACTCTTTTTGAGGGTGGGTAAATGCTCTCTTGGTAATTAAGTTAAATACTTCATTTTCAATGTTTAATTTATTTATTTTCTAAAGAGAGAGAGAGAGAGTTACTAAATTGCACAACCTATTGAGAGAAATATCAAATTTCATAGTGAGCAACTACCCACTCTGGACTGTTTGTTGGTTTACCTCTTGTTTTAGATGGCTCGTGACTTTATTGAATATTTTCGCTTAGAATACTGTAACACATGGACTGCTAAAATGGTATGTTGAAAAAATCTTTTGTCATATGATTGGGAGTCTTTTGCTGTCTTCAGTTCGAAGTATTTTTTAAAACATAAGACGCCAACTACTAAACTCTTGTACTTATTTTCTCTCTTTTGTAACTTCATTTCTTTCAAATATAGGTGTCAACCTCAACCAGAAGAACCATCCATTCACAAATTCCAAGTTATACAAATTTGCCATCACAAATGCTGTGCCAAGTTCATAATGTCACATTACATGTGAGTATAATCTATTATAAGTATAGGGGCCTTTTAGGATCACTTTTTTTTTCTTTTATTTGAGTTTTGATTGGAATTAAAACATGTTTTATTGTGATAGTTATTTTTAAGGCATAGGTGTCATCCATTGACAAATCCCAACCAGAAGAACATTGAATATTTTAAAATAATAATTGATTTGTTTTTAAAAACAAAAAGTAAAAGTAAATAAAAATTATATCAATCAAACGTGTTTTTAAAAATAAGAAAGAAATAAAAAAAAAAGAGGAAACAAAAGGGATGCCAAACAGGGCTTAGTTTTTGGTAACCTGAATTTATGGGGTATTTATTCTACTTGCTTAATGCACTTGTAGGCTGACAGGGACAGTGATGAAATTTATGCACAGATGACGCTTCAGCCAGTTAACTCTGTATGTATTCTAGCCCATATGCTGAAAGTTTAATGTTTCAAGTTCAAATTTAATTTTTCTATGATATTTGCTTGGCCTTTTCCTTTATCTTGCAACCTTGAATACAGCAAAAACATTTTTTTTTTGCTGGGTTTTCTGTGCAACTTGTTAAACGTCAGAGTTCATAAATATAAGTGTGATGTTAATCGAACAAAATTTTAGAAGTTCTTAAGAATTTTTGCATTCCCATCATTTTGTGCTTTATGATTGTAATATTGACATTCATCAAGGTGGATTATGCTCTTTTTTGTTCAATTTAAGGAAGCTGATGTCTTCCAAATCACTGATTTTGGATACGCGAAAAGCAAGCAACCAACAGAATTCTTCTGCAAGAATTTGACTGCTAGTGATACAAGCACTCATGGTGGCTTCTCTGTACCCAGAAGAGCAGCAGAAAAATTATTTCCCCAATTGGTGAGAAAATGAGAATGAAATATAAATACTCCTCTTTTTTTTTCAATATGATCCATATTTTTATGTTTTTTATTTTTATTTTTAAGGATTATGCAATGCAACCTCCTAGTCAAGAGCTTATTGTTCGAGACTTGCATGACAACGTTTGGACATTTCGACATATTTATAGAGGTGTGGAATATTTTGCAAATCTTGCACTTTGTGCTACATGTTTGTATCATTGTCGCTGTATATGTATTCATAAGGTTAGAAATTGTAACACTTTTTTGTTGAATTAAAGCAATATGTGATACAACAGTGTCGATATATAGGCGATAGAATGGACTAATAAACAAAACACAAGCACTTGAAACTTTGCTATTTAGGACACTCTTTTATCTGTTTGGCAAATTCTTGCTCAAATATCAAAATTCATTGTGAAATCCCTATCCATATTTTTCATATTTATCAAATTCCCAATGGTTTGATCTGTGGCACGCGTAAATGCACTGATTTTGTAGTTCAAAACTTTTGTAAATAGCAAATTTTCTAGTGATATGCATGCAATTATCCCTTATAATTAATTAGACATGCATGTTAATATTTATTTGACAGTAAAAAATTCCAATGACTAACAATCTCAAGCATTTAAATAATATTTTCATAATCTTTGTAGTATAACAGTAAAAGAGAGGAGGAGATAGAAACAGAAAAAGTGAAGAATATATGACATGAAATGACTCCATTTCTAAATGGTCTTTTCTCCAATTTTTTCAAATTGCTATCGTTTTCAGTATATGGGAAAGTGGAAGAGAGAAAAAACAAACAATAAATTGTACAAAAATGCTCCATTTGAAAATAGCTTTATTTTATTTTATTTAATATTGTATTGCTTTTGTAATGGACAAGCAATATATTTAATCTATCTAATTTTTAATCTAATCTACATATCATTTAATTTTCGAATTATTATTTTTTCCCATAATAAATATACTGAATCAACTTGAATGATTTCTTCTCTTCTAATTATGAAAAAGGATAACAAAAATGATTCTCTGTTATTTTCACTACTAACTTGTTCTAGATGCTCCTTGTCTGTGCAGGGCAGCCAAAGCGACATCTTTTGACGACCGGTTGGAGCTTGTTCGTTGGAGCAAAGCGGCTTAAAGCCGGTGATTCTGTTTTGTTTATTAGGCATGTATATTCATGAAATTTTATTTTTTTTAATGTTCTAAAGTACATACATACAAACCAATTCATATGTATTTACATATCTAACACTGAAACGTTAACTTTTTTACATTTATACCATCCAAAGCATTCATGTCACATGAAAAATAACTTTATTTTAACTTTCAAATAGTGAGCTTTTCATGCATAGGTAAGTTGGTATATATGTGAAATTTGAATTTTAGGTGTTAGATATGTAAAATTATAGAAATTGAGTGGCGTGTATGTAAATCTTTCTAAAGATAGTCAGCTTGCACATTTCTACTGAACTTGATATTGATGGCTTTAATTTTCATTCCACTACTTAAATGTTGGGGCATTTACACACCTGCCACACAATTCTTATGCATTTACATATCTAACATCTAAACTTTCATTATTTCATGCATTGCAGTCAGTAGTTCTTTAATAGCACATACTAAAGAGAAATGCACTTTTTCATTCATAGGTTTACAACTTCAAAATGTTATAAATATAAATATCAATCTTTAGGTGTTGGATACATAAATGCATAGAAATTTTGTGGTATGTATGTAAATTATCATGTCTATCAATCTGAGAATTATGTATGATTTGTTTAGAGATGAGAAATCACAACTACTACTGGGCTTAAGACGTTCAAACAGCCAACAGACATCGTTGCCTTCCTCTGTCCTTTCTGCTGATAGTATGCATATTGGTGTTCTTGCTGCTGCTGCTCATGCCGCCGCTAGCAGCAGTTCATTTACTGTTTACTACAACCCAAGGTATACTTTCTGCATGGTATATATATATATATATATATATATATATATATATATATGATGAGTTGCAAGCGGCTCTGCGTCCCCTCTCGACCCGGGTTTGAATCCTCAACCAAACGGGATTTGAATTTGCACATGGGATTGGTTAGGGGGGTCCGCCCTTCGGCCAATCCTTTAATATATATATAGTGTGTGTGTGTGTGTGTTTGTGTTATAATCCTATGCATAGAAAGAATGTATTCCACTTTTAAACAGTGGCAATAGTTTTATGTATTATGTGATATTAAAGATTTGAGTGTTATGTATGTGATTATGAAAGTTTAGGTGTGAGATATGTAAATACGTAAAAACTATGTGTTGCCTATGTAAATTTCCTTATGTGTGTGTGTGTGTGTGTTTGCTTCATAAACTTTGCTAGTATGTGTTACTAAAATTTAGAAAAAAATGAAATTTTTCAGGGCATGTTCTTCAGAATTCATTATTCCTCTAGCTAAGTACCAGAAAGCTGTTTATACACACGTGTATATTGGAATGAGATTTGGAATGATGTTTGCAACAGAAGAATCAACTAAAAGAAGGTTCCTTCCAGATTATTTGTTTTATTACTTTGCTAATTTCTCCTTTCTTTTATTCTGAATCTCTAGTGAAAGGATTGGGATTAAGATGTAACATAATATTTAATAACATTAGAATCAAGTCTAATTTTAAGAAATGGTTTGGGATCAACGTTTAATTTCAAAAATTGTGGTTGTATAACTAATCTTAACTTATCTATAGGGAAGGTAAGCGTAATTAATTCAAAAGAAATTCAGCTTTACAGGCCTACGTAAGTCAAAATAGAAGTTGAGAAACAAAAATTAAATTAATTTTTTATAGTAGTCACCTTTTAGTTTAGGGCTATAAATGACCAAAGCAATTGAAAAGCTGTTTGTAGCTTGGTTTTTTAAAAACTCATTCTTCTTCGTTTGGTTAATTCATCGACCAAATTTGAACACTTTTATAAATGACCGATTATTAAACGAGCAAGCTTGAACGACATCTTACTCAATTTCTTTAGGATTACGAATAATATCATTTGAAGCATATCAAATTAAGGCATTATATATAGCTCAATTATCATTCAATATTGTTGCGTGCCGGAAGATTTGCGGCGGTAGAGTAATAAACTATCTTAACATTGCACAAAGTTTAAGTACACAGATGGGTAAATGAAAAACAACAGGAGTCACCAATTTTTACATGGAAAACCCTAGAAAGCGAAAAAAATCATGTGGTCCAACCTAATTGAAATAATCTGCTATGTAATTGTAAGTACATGGGCTGTAATCGATTGCTATGTAGGCTATAGCCCACCATGAATGTTATAGACAATGACTGTATCACTAGCTTGTCGTAGATTCCGTAGTTAGAAATTATGATAGTAGTTGGTCATATGAGCAATTTATGATTTTTTCAGGAACGTTAGTTAGATACAAAGATCGTGTTAGATAGGTGCAGAAGATGTGTGTCATGTGTGTCGTAGTTGGTCACATAGGTCATAGTGGTGAGCTCCGATAACGTCTCTATGCCACAGAGGTTGGAGTTAGGAGCTCTTTGAGCTGTTATTCATGCGGGTTGTAGTTAATCACATAGGTCGTAGTGATAAGCTATAACAATGCAACCTATAATTGGTCACATGGGCCGTTGTGGTGAGCTCTAATAATGTCCGTAGATCACAGTGATTGTAGTTGGGAGTTGCATGAGCTATGAACCATATAGGTCGTACTTGGTCGCTTAGGTTGTAGTGACAAACTGCAATAACCATATAGGTCGTAGCTGGCCTCTTAGGTCGTAGTGGCGAACTGCAATAACGTTCGCAAAGCCACAGAGGTCATAGGTCATAATTGGTCGCATATGTCGTAGTGATTAGCCGAATAATGTCTGTAGGCTATATAGGCTAGAGTTGGGACCTGCATGAGCTATGGACCATGGGACCTGCATGAGTTGTGGACCACATTTGATTTTCTTGGCCTCGTTGAGCTTATAAAAAAAGCCAAAAAATTGGAGAAAAATTAAAGTCTACTATTGTGCGGTCAACGAAGATCGCTTTTGCATTGTTGTTGCCTACCTCAGTCTCAAACAATTTTTGTGCAATAAATGAAGCTCTCTCCTGCATCGTTGTTTCCCGCCCCGTAATCTTCCAGCCTATTTTTTGTGCAATCAACAGTGCTCTCTTGCTTGTTGTCATAACACTTTTTGCATTGTTGTTGCGCACCCCCAAAGTCTTTTGGCTTGCTATTGTGCCATCAACAGTGCTCCCTTGGCCTGCTGTTGTGCCATTCCGCGCAGCAGTTGCAGCTTTTAGAAGATATTTTTCATTTTGTCATTGCAATTTTTGGAGAAGACTTTTTTGTGTTGGTGCAATTTATATAGGATATTTTTCGCATTTTTAGTCCACTTTTTTTAAGAGGTTTTTGGGTTGCTATTGTACTTTCTGGAGAAAATTTTCTAACCTGTTGTTTCACTTTCTGGAGGGCATTTTCTGTATTGCTGATGAGCTTTATGGAGAAAATTTTGTGCTATTGTTGTTCTTTCTGGAGGAAATTTTTCTCACTGGATGATAACGTTTAGGGAATCCTACACTTCTGAAAAACAGCAGAAGTATCAGAATTTTAAGAAGGTAATGTCGATACCCTTTGAAGATGAGCTACCCTTTCTCTAAGGTCCTGGAAGACTAAACTTGCAAAGATTGACCACATCCTCGACGAGCACACAAAGGTTAATAACTCATGTACAATACACACATTGTCATTCAGATGTAAGTTAGCAAACTGCAAGAATGAAATACTCTATGTTGTTTTTTTTATGGATACTCGAGAAGAAATCATGGAGACACGAGCTAGCATCAATTAGTGTCTGATACTTTTCAGGTTTTTCGAACAAGGGTGTCAGTTCCTCAAAGGGAGAATCTAAGTTGTTATCCCAGTGTGTGGAAAGAGAGACGCTTCAAGCGAAGGGTTTGCCAATTGTCCATTAGACTGCAGCTAATCTCAAAATGACCTTCATCTTGCACCTAAAGATTCCCCTCTAGCTTTTAAAAGTGGTCCAACTGAAATGGACTTGTACAAGCATGTTCCTGATGTTGAGGAGGATATTATAGTGGATTAGTATTTGTATGCTTGTATTGGTGGCTTTGCCTTAACACTTTTTTTACTATGTCAGTATTTGTAGCTCTTCCCACGTTTGATATGTTTAGTGTGTTAGTTTATGCAACTCTTTTTCTGTTTGATGTAGTTATTTACACCTTGTGATAGTGCATTTCTTTGACGTTATATTACACTTGTCGAGTGTCACTTCATTATTTATACTGCAGTGCAATTTTGAATTAGAAAATTGAACAACAAGCTGAGAGTTATCAAAATTTTCTCGATTTACTCAAACAATGTCAACCCATCCTGGGTTGTATTACTGAAGAGGAGAAAACTCCCTACTTAGGGTTGCACAATTTATCCTAGGTTATTAGTCGAAGCAGCTGCTCAATGATTGTAACTTATAAATGACGACATCGATTGTAATCCATTAAAGATGTAGGACTATTCCAAAGTTGTATAGCCAGAGATGCTAGATGATATTAATATGTTATGGATCAAACTCTTGTTTGACAACTATATTCTTTTATGAAAGAGGTCAAATCAAGTCCCCCTGGGGTCCATTAAATCCAAAATAAGGTGTCAGAGATGCTTTGCATTTCTCGAGACTGGGGCGTAGGTCGAGATGGACCGTTTAGGGGCACTGAGGAAGTGCATTTTGGTCGGACATCTTTTGTCAGTGATTGATGTTTAGATGTGGAAATGAGTGTCCTCTCAAAGCTGCAGCAAAAATTTATCCCCGGTATGCAGTTGTTTTCTATAAACTTGATGTCAAAATGAAATGTGGCATAATTACCTCACCACAATTGTGCTCGATGTGAATGAAATTTTGAGATTGCGGTGAAGGCTGCCTCCCGACTGCCCCGCGACCTGGAACTGGTTCTCATATACTTGTTATCTGAATAGGATGTTGGAAGACTACCCTACAACAATCGTGCCCAGGAAGTTAACGTGAACAACTTTTCAAGACTGCAACGAAAGTTTCCCCTTAGTCTAGAAATGCTTCTTGTAAACTTGATGTCTGAATGAGACATGAAATGACTACCCCACCATAATTGTGTCTGGGGCGTTAACATGAATGACCTTTTGAGACCACAATGAAGGTTGCCCCCAGCCTAAAAATAATTTGAAAGTTAGTTTTTTGTGACTTTCATCCACTTTGACGAAACCAGGAAGGGGGGTGAGAGAGGCCTTTGACAATTCTCCACCAATGGGTGATGTGTATCACTTAAACATGAAATAGAGGATTGGTGTCCCAGACTTTAGGATCATTCCCAACATAGCTTCTTTTCTTACAGACAGTGTTAAACTATTGCTTGCCGTAAGATTCATGACGGTAGAGTAATAAATTAGTTTCTTAACATTGCATGAAGATCCAACACACTGACGTATAATAGAAATGTATCATAAGGAGCACCACAATTTTTATGTGAAAAACCCTAGTATGAGAAAAACTCACGAGGTTTAGCCAAATTGTAATAATCCACTATGTCATTGTAAGTACATACACACTCTCGGCTTGAACTAGAAAAGATAGAATTCAATGTTGAAGTTGGTTTCTTTAGACTTGGTGTCAAAATGAGGGAGTGCTCTTTGTTAGGGTATCTTGTGTCAATGATTGATGTTCAGATGTTGACATGAGTGTTCTCTCGAAGTTATAGCAAAAATTTCTCCTTGGTATGAAGTTGGTTTCTATAGACTTGATGTTGAAATGAAATGTGAGATGAGTACCTCACCACAATCGCGCCAGAGCAATGTTGGTTGCCCCTTGGCCTGGAATTGGTTCTTGTATAATTGATGTCTAAATAGAATGCAGAAAGACTACCCCACAACAATATTGTCCAGGTGTTAACGTGAACAACTTTTCAAGACTATAGTGAAGTTTTCCCCAACCTAGAACTACCTTTTGTAAATTTGATGTGTCTGAATGAGCATGGGATGACTACCTTACTACAATCGTGCTTGGGGTGTTAACATGAATGACCTTTTGAGACTGCAATGAAGTTGCTCTGAGCATGAAAATACTTTGAAAGTTGGCTTTTTGTAACTTTTATCCCTTTTGACGAAAATAAGAAGGGAGAGAGAGGTCCTTAATAATCCTTCGCCAGTGGGGTGATGTTTATCACTAGAAAATGAAGCAGAGGATGGGCGTCTCAGATTTGAAGATTGTTCTCAATAGAATTTTTTGTTCTCACAGACGACGTTAAAATGTTGCGTGCTGGAAGATTCATGACGATTGAATAATAAATTAACGTTTTAACATTGCATAAAGATCTAACACACTAGAAAATAATAGAAAAGTAGCATGAGAAAACGACACAATTTTTATATTGAAAACTCTAGAACGGGAAAAAAATCACAGGGAATAGCCCAGATGAAACAATCCTTTATGTGACTGTTAGTACATAAGCTCACTTTCCCCTTGAATTAGAGAAGATAAAATTCAATGT